ACAAAATAAATAAATAAATAAATAAAAAGAAAACACAATGCTGCTTTGCTTGCTTGCCTTTACCTCTCGTCTGAATCTGCAAGGCAAGCAAAAGCAGGTTTTAGACTCCTAACTGTTACAACCAGCGAGGCTCAGCTACCCATCCCAGCATCTTAATTAAGGGAACAAGGGACAGTGAAAAGCAGAGAAAGGGGAGGCACAGCTAAGCCGTTCTGCTGATAGAGGGTTTCCATCTGTCTTTGAGCCCTCTCTTCCTGGGGGACAAGCTCTTTCCCTGACTAGCACTGGGACTTCAGCCTTCCCTTCCCCAGCATGAGATTTCTGGGGAAACCTGAACTCTTTGGAACCCATTGTTTCAAGACTCTGATAACCAAAAGGAGGGGTCGACCAGCTCTCACTCCAGAACCTTTTCTCCTGCTAGGATGGGATGGTTACAAGAGGAAAGTTTCTCATTTGTGTCTCCACTTTCTATTTGCTTCCTTCTTTTTATTTAACGGGTGAACTATGAACAATGGTGCTGCAATTCAATGATACCAGCTTTTAAATTGTTGGTGCAAGTAGATACGTGAGCATGCCACAGAGCATGTGTGAATATCAGAGGACAATGGGACAGTCGGTGCTCTCCTTCCAGTTTGGCTTCCCAGGACCAAACTCAGATCACTTGGATCAGCAGGAATCATTTTCTCCAATTGAGTCATTGTACTGGCCCCGGGATATCACGTCCTATGTGGGCAGTGGGTTGAGGAAATATCCTGTCCTGTCCCACCTGGCCCTGTGTCTCTTTTTCTCTCAGATCAGGACGTGGGTAGCCCAGGCTGGCCTTGAACACTATATAGTAGAGGATGACCTTGAACACTTCTTTCGATGACCTTGAACACTTCTTTCTGTTGACCCTGCCTCAAAGTGACCTCCCTTTCTTTGTTGCCTCTTGCTTCCAGCATAAGCATGTAAATCATTTTAGACATATCAACCTAAATTATCCCCCTTTACAGCTTGAAGCACAGAAATGGGTCATTATCACATATATATTGTGAGAGGAAGTCAAATCTAAATGATAGTTATGACAGGATGAAAGAGATTAGGATCTCCTGTCTACCCGGAGCCTTTCATAAGTCACTAAATGGAAAACTACGGCTTGATTTTACAATGACCAAACTTTACAGTTAATTCTTCAATGCCCGTATTTTTAACTAGGCCTGCCTGGCCAAGACAAACACCTGAAATAACAGAATTTTTAAACGATATAGTAATGGTGAGAGACAGGAGAACACAGATATAAAGAGAATCATACCTATGCATTAATATACTAGCACTGTAATTTCAAGTTAATAGGTCGCCCTGAAAATGTTTGTACACACACCTCAACATGTGTCTTCAATTAGGCATGACAAGAATACTAATTTTTATCATATAGTAAATTTTGCTTTTGTTTTTGTTTGTTTGTTTGCTTGCTTTAGAGTTTTTGAGACAGGGTTTCTCTGTGTAACTGTTGTGGCTGTCCTGATGACAGCCTGAGGACCAGGCTGTCCTCAAACTCACAGAGATCTCCCTGCCTCTTCCTCCAGAATGCTGGGATTAAAGGCATATACCATCACCTGGCTGTAAACTGTTTTTAAACTCATAAAAATTAAATGACCAAAGAATTGCTACTTGGTTATTTTAGGAATTCTGGAAGCATATTTAATTTTCTCTCACATTGTTTTCAGAAGCAAAATTACATATAAAAATCAATTACATGAAGCCAATAATAATGAATAAATGACTACATTAAGTTAGGTGCACTCTTTGGAGGGAGGGAGGGAGGGGGGGGAATTTTCTCTCCTACATCTTTGAGATGTAAGAAATCCCCAAAAAAGCAAAATTATCAAAATGTTCAGCTTGTGTAATCTTGGATCAATATTGCCCCTGTTTTAAGAGCTGATCACCAAGGGGAGGTGGATGCTTAACTACCCCCACTTCATATATCAGTAGAGTGATCCGAAGTCCTTTACCCAATCTCAGAGCATCCTGATAACTCAGGAAAGCCCACACTCAAAACTTTATGTTTTAGTTTTTATCCAGGCAGTGAACACAGTATGGGACTGCCTCTTGCTCTCTATTTTATCATAAAGGGGGCTGTAAACATCTTTTCTTTTGATAGAGAGCTTTTCTCCATGGGAACTGTTAGAGAAGAGAGCAGAGAGAATAATGAAAATGAGAAAGCAGAAGACTGGTGAAGTTAGATCCCATCCTCACTGCTCTGGCTCTGGTCACACAGCTTCTACACAAACCAGACACTCACACCTGACACATCACCAAAGAAAGAGGGCCACATGCCTAGGTCACAGTGCGGAACTACAGCATGTCTGACCTCAAACCCACCAGTCCTATAGACATGTTCTCCAATGAGAATTACCTAGGTTAAAAACAGGTCACATAATTTCACAGAACAGTCATGAATTTTATCAAAGAATTTAAGGTGTTTAAAGGTCACACAAAAAAAGGAGATCAATTAACCTAAAGAAGATAACAATAAATGCCTGAATAGTATCCAAGAAAATACTAATATGCATATGGTTGAAGAAAATTGTGAAGGTTATTCAGGATTTAGAAATTCAGTAAGTTCAGTAAGAAGTTAAAAATATTGAAGAGAATTCAAGATGAATTGAAGATCGAATTGAAAATCTCAGTAACCCAATTAGAAAACTCAGTGGGGGAGTGTTCTGAATATAACGGATGATGCAAAATATTAGGACTTGAAGACAAAGAGGATGAATTGGAACACTCTAGTAAAGAATATGAAATTTTAAAATAACACAAAGAAACATGCAACAACTTTGGAACATCAGGAGAAGATCAAATCTTCAAAATATGGATGAAAGAAAACGATTCCAGATCAATGGAATAGACTAGATCTTTAAAAGGAACATAGGAGAAACCTCAGCCACTAAGGAACCACCTACCACACAGACATAAGAAGAACACAGAACACCTAATAAACAGGACCAGAGAAGAAATTCCCTGTGCCACATTAAGTCAAAACATTAAATATACAGAATTAGAAGGCTCTAAAAGCAGTAAGAGAAGACAAAACAAACACACACACACAAAAAAAACCCCACAAGTCACATATAAAGGAAACCCCATCAGAACAACAGCAGATTTCTCAACAGAAACTTTAATAGCCAGAACAACCTGGAGCAATGAACTTCGAGTTCTAAGAGATCACAGAGGCCATCCTTGACTCGTCTACCCGGCAAAACTCCCTGCCATAGTTGAAAGAGACAGAAAACCTCCCTGCAATAGAAGCAGTGGACAAGAAATCATGCACGCCAAACCAGGCCTGCAGAGAACACCAAAAGCAACACTTCAGACTGGAGGGAGGAACAAAAATAGCCAAAAGACTACAGAAAGAAAACGATTGAAACCACAATTACTGAAACACAAAATACAACTAAAAATACAAACAGAAACAACTACAACAGAACAAGGGCAATCAACACACACCTTCCAATAACAGTTTAAGTATTAATGGTCCCAACTCCCCAGGCAAAAGTCACAACTTCGTTAAATGGACTAAGTAATGAATTCCATCTGTCTATTATCTACAAAAGATTCATTTTATCTTCAAAGATAAGAGTCAGCTTTAGGAGGCTGGAGAGATGGCTCGGTGTCTGGGAGCGCCAGCTGCTCTTTCAGAGGTCCTGAGTACCATTCCCAGCAGCCACATGGTGACTCGCAGTCATCTACTGTGGGATCCAATGCCCTCTTCTGTCGTGCAAGCTGCATGCAAGTCGAATACTCATGTGTACAGAATGCATAAATAAATAGAAGATGGATGGCAAAAAAAAATCTTTAAAAAAAAAGTCAACTTTAAACAAAATGATGGGAACAAATATTCCAAGCCAGCAGAACCAGGAAGCAAGAAGTTGTCACCAAGACGATATATGAAAAAAAAAAGACTTTGAAACAACTTAAAAATATAAACAAGGGCATTTTATTCTAACCAAGATAACAATTAACCAAGAAAACATTACAATCCTAAACACATATGGGGCAAACTCTGGCACACCCAGTTTTACTTTAAAACACACACACACACACTTTGGACTTAAAGACACATGTTAACTCCAACTCAGCAACAGGTGATTTCAATACCCCAATTTCTCCAATAGATGCGTCATACAGTTAAAGATTAAACAGAGAAACCTCAAAACTAACTGATATCATGTGCCAAATGAGCATGACAGATCTGTACAGAAAACTCCGTCCAAACAGTAAAGAACAAAAAAGTCTATTCTAGAGCCCACGGAGGCATTTCTAAACTAGGCCACATGTTTGAACACACACACACACACACACACACACAAAAAAAAAAACTTATTAAATTCAGAAAAATTTAAATACCTCCATGTATCCTTTCTAACCCAAATGCAATAAAACTTAAAATCAATACTAAATGAATCTCTAGTAACTACACAATTTCAGGAAAATTAAATAACACAACACTGGATGATGAATGGGTCAAAAAGAAGCCAACAATTTTTTTCCCTGAAATTAAATGAAAATGAAGCACAACACAAAAAAAAAACCCTCTGTAACATATTAAAAGCAGTCCTAAGAGGAAAATTTATAGCTCTAGGATCCTACATTAAAATACAGAAGAGGCACAGATGAACAACAATAATGTATGCAAGAATTTGGAAAAACAAGAACAAACCAAACCCAGATTCAGTAGACAGACAGCAAGGAATAAACAAACAAATAAATAAATAAAATCAGAGCAGAAATCAAGGAAGTAGAATCAAAGAAAACAGTACAAAGAGTCAACAAATCCAAGAGGTATTATTTCCTTGAGATGATAAACAAGATCAGCAAACTCTTGACCCAATTAACTAAAAGGAAGGAAGCAATGACCAGAAATTAATTAACAGAATCAGAGGCAAACATGGAAACATTACAACAGACACCAAAGAAATTACGACTATTGTAAAGGGATACTTTTAAAATGTATACTTTATTAAGCTAGAAACTCTAAGATAGATGAGTTCCTCAATTTATTCAAACAAAGTTAGACTTAGAAGAGATTAACAACCTAGTCAGACCATAACAATACAGAAACTGAAGCAGTAATAAGAGCCTTCCACCTCCAGCAGCCTAGTCTCAAATAGATTCACAGTGGAATTCTACCAGACTCCCAAACATTTGCCACCAATCCTTCTCAAATTACTCCAAAGAGAAGAAAAAAAGGAGGAAGAGAGAGAGAGAGAGAGAGAGAGAGAGAGAGAGAGAGAGAGAGAACAAAAAGAAACAGAAGGATCACTTCCAAACTCTATGAAGGCAGTTTCACTGTAATACCCAAACCAGTTAAAGAAACAACAACAAAATTAAAACTGCAGGCTGATATTTCTTGTAAACAATGATTCAAAAAACCCTCAATAAAATATTTGCAAACCAAATATGCTTTTGTATCGAAAAGATTATCCATTATGACCAAGTTGACTTTATTCCCGAGATGCCGGGACGGTTTGAGGTACACAAGTCAATAAATATAATAAACCACACAAGTGGACTTAAAGACAAAAATCACATGATAATTTCAATAGATGAAGAAAAGGCCCTTCACAAAATCCAGCAAGCATTCATGGAAAAAGTTTTAAAATGACACCAGTCGTGACAACCTCCATCTGCTGAAAAGAGCCGCTTCTGTGGATGCAGCTAGGACTTGCACTGCTTTGATAAGGTGACGGTAGTAGGTTCTCCTTTAAAATCCATGACGTCACTAGCCCCAGGTGTTTGGCTCAGTGTTCAGAACCAGGCATGTCGAGTGAGCCCAAGTCCAATTAGGCAGCTGTTGGTTGCCACCAAGACATGGGTGTCACTGTTGACCTTCAGTAGTATCTTGCAGGGCTGATCACGGTGGTGACTCACAGGCTGGCAAGGACTGCTGATTGCTACCCCTCTAGCATCTTGCATAGCACCTTTAGGAGCTATGAAAACTGGTCTCCAGGAGGAGGTGCCTAAAGCTATGGTGGTTTCTTGTAGACAACAGAAAGGTGGACCTCGTTTCTTAATCCATTAAAGACAAAATCTGTGTCTTTTGACAGAACACAGATCAGTGAGTGTGGACATGGACGCAGGGTTGATGGAAGAGGGGAGGGCAACTTATCAGGCAAAGATGGCTCAAGAACAAAGCATGGGCTGGAGCTAAGTGTGTGGGTATGGAGATCCCATCCCTTGTCTCAATGCCCACCACAAAGGCCACACAACATCTGCCACAGCCGTCTTACAATCCCATCCTGTATGTGCTACTGTCAGGGACTAATGTGTCCTCTAGTCCGTCAGCCTTTCCAGAATGTCCCCATACTATTAGGTCAACTCCATTCATAAAGGAGGCACACCACCCTATGCTACATAGTGATGTGAGAGTCCCCTCTGTGTTCTGTGAATATGTTTTATTCAGGGCAGCGCAGACTATAGCTAGATTGAAAAACAAAACTGAATGCAGGGAGAAAGAAGACAGAGTCAAGCAGATGCCAAAGAAGCAAGCCGCCCAAGATGCCAAAGAGGCAGCTGCCCAAGAAGCAAGATGTGAGGTAACAAACCACAAGCCTCATGGTAAAATATACAATAATAAAAACCGGGTTAATTTATGATGTAATAGATAGTTAATAAGAAACCCAAGCCAATAGGCCAAAGAGTACTTAATTAGTATTAAACCTCAGAGTGGTTATTTTATAAGTGGCTTCGGGAACAGGCGAGTGGGAAAAACTCGGCCCAGAAGGACCTGCAGGGTGGAGAATATTTGTAACTATAACACAGAGGAAGCTAGAGACCCTGGGATTTCATCTAAGGAAGCTTTGTTCTTGAATGCTGTGTTAGCTGCATATCCTATCAGCTATTGCAGGGAGCATGCAACTGTCATTGCACACCATCCACAGGGGAAAATGGAGCTCTGTTGGGACTGCTCTCACCTGTGAATGCTTCACCCTCACGGGATCGACCTCAGTTGCACGTCTTATCATTCATCCCAGGGGTTGTGCAGCTGATTCTCCCAGCTCAACTTGTCCTGCTCATCTCTGCTTGAGAGGTAGGTTATGTCACTTTAGGTTAGGTTTCCATGACTTTAAGTAGGTTATGTGACTTTACCTAGGGAGATGTGAACAAGTTTATTCAACCAAGATAGGACACAGATAATAGACATGCACAGAGCTTAATGAACTAGTTGGTACATTTATGGAGATTACTTACTGCCGTATGGGTGCCCCTAGAAGCAGCTGCGTCTGTAACAGGAACGAGCCGGCCTGCTTTTCGTCCTGGCTGCCCAGCTAGCTTACACCTGAAATAATCACACAGAAATTGTTATTCATTTAAATCACTGCCTGGCCCATTATCTGTAGCTTTGATTGGCTAACTCTCACATCTTGATCTAACCCATTTCTAAAAATCTGTATGCCACCACGAGGTTGTGGCTTACTGGGAAAGATTCCGCATGTCTGACCTGGCATCTCCATAGCGACTCTCTTACCGCCCTTCTTTCCAGCCTTCGGTTCTGTCTACTCTGCCTACCTAAGTGTTGCCCTATCAAAAGGCCAAGGCAGTTTCTTCATTAACCAATGAAAGCAACACAAATACAGAAAGACCTCCTACACCATGCATCTGTAAGTGACAACTCACAAAAGCTGCATTCCCAGAGCTCACTGCACAACTTGCAGGCAACTCTACTGGAGAGTCTCCTTCTCTAGCAATTCTTTACTGCTTCTATACACCTGTAGGGGGCGTTTCTGAGGCTTGGGACTTTCTGGCCTTCCCTAGCCTTTTTTTTCCTACTTTTCCTCAGCATCTTAAGTTTCATGAGCCTCCTTCCTCCATCCAGGAGGGGGCGCTTCAGTCTAGAAGAAGTAGCTGTGAAACAGCCATATTTCCAACATGTCTAATGTTCTCTCTTTCTATGCTGTCTTTATGAGAGGAAAGGGTTGTGTGTGTGCATGTGTACATAAGTGTGTACCTCCATTGTCTACCTCCACAGGTCTCTAACTGAACTGCAAGCTCACCATGTTGGCTAGGCCGACTAGCCAGCAAGATCCTGGGGTCTACTACCCATCTCTATCACAGCATACTGGGGTCACAGACAAGAAACAATTAGTGCTAATGGGAAGCTTGACAAAAGTCTAGAGTCACCCTGAATATGAACCTCTGAGCATGCTTATGAGAGACTATCTTGATAACATTGATGTGGGAAGGGCTGCTTGCTGTGAATGGCACCATTCCCTGACTGGGGTCCTACTTTGTCTAAATGGAAAAGGAAATTAAGTAGAGGTCTTTTCCCCCCTTATTTGACTGTATACACAATGTTACCAGCTGCTTCAAGCTCTCGATGCCTTGATTTCCCATCAAGACTGACTAGAGACTTTCTAGTCACCAAGTCTTTCTTCCCTCGAGTTTCTTTAGCTTGAGTATTTCACTGCAAGAAAAGTTTTTTTTTTTAAAAAAAAAATCTAATACAAGGCACATGCGTCTATGACTGAAATCGTTAATGTGGGTCCTAGGGATTGAGACTCAGGTCCCCAGATTTGCTATACAAGTACTCTTACCCACTGAGCCACCTCCCCAGCTTCCTCTCGGCTGCTGTCTTTCTGGTGGGTGCATGTTGAGAACTATAAAGTCCTTGGGACAGAACGAAAGAAACAACCCTGGGCCAGAAGCTCCCATGGCCTAATTTCTGGGGCCTGCAAATGGTAGCTCAAACACAGGCTACCTGAGCTAGGGAAGATTTACGGGAGAGAGGTTTACCTTGGTTCCAGGGTCTGGAAGCTGAAGAACATGGTCAAGGAGACAGTGGAAGACAGAAGCACAGAGGGCAAGTGCAGCTGGCATGCACAGAGCAGCAAAGTAGGAGGGGCAACCTCGCATTACAATAACCTGATCTCACTATCACTAACTCCTTCTTACTAGAAAAACATCGAGGCACTCAGACCTAATCCCATGACCTAATCACCACTCCGCATGGTTCTTGCTTCCCAATGCGACCACAGAGGAATCAAATTTCAACATGAGTCAAGGAAGACAAAAAATGGCAGTGGTGAGCTGACCCTGCAGACGAGAGTGAAGTAATACTGTTGAGAGGGGAATGTTGCCCTGGAGTGTGCATGGGTTATGACACCTGATCACTGGGTCCTTCCAAGGAGGTAGAGAGCTCAACACTGGAGGTACACAGAACTTGGAGTGGCATTGCCAGGGGCACAAGAGTGTCAGCAGCTCCAAAATAAGTGAAGAGAGGCACAGTGCCTCTGCTCAGCCCCAGGAGGGAAAAGCTCTACTCCTATGACCTGGGTTTGAATACCGCCGATTTCCTGGCATAAGCGCATGAGATCACTTAGGCCACGGTTCCTACCTAGAGTGGGGTGTCCATGTTCCACACTCACAGAGCATCCCCAGACCCCAATGGAGTAGCTTAGGAGGAACTGATGGGACCACAGGAGAACCAGGCTGTTGAGACAGGTTCACAAGCATCCATCAGGTGAGCTGGTGTGGGCCTTTCCTCCCACACAGGCTTGCAGCCCTGTCCTGCTCCAGGCTGACAGGGTGACTAGGCTGAGGTACAGGGGCCTTGAGAGTCAGGCAGAAGGTGCTGCCACAGGGGAAACAGAAGGGCTATCCCAAGCAGCAGAGCAGCTAGGACAGAGGACTTCCGGAGTAGCTCCAGGGCAGGGTGCTGTCTAGTGCTATGGAAGTTCTTAGAGTTATGTTAAGACACAGTGTTGTACAGTGAGGGCTGCCTGGGCACAAGCCCAAGGGCTAAGTGCCAAGAAGCTTTAGCACGATCTGGTTTTTACCCCCTCTGGCTTTTGCCTCCAGTACTATGTGTGTAATCACCCTGCCCTGAGAGAGATTTACGGGGTGACCATTGTGTGTTCTAGGGGACAGCTAGCCACACTTGAGTAAGCAAAACAAATTCCTGACCAGGAGAGACCCTGTCCATATGGTCTTGCTCCCACCTGAGCCTAACAGGGGGCAAGACAGGATGAGGATGGTAGACTTTAAGAGAATCTCCCAGGCCCAATGCAAAGGCCTTTGACCTGTGAAAGCCTGTTTTTTACCACAGGCTGTGTTCTTGGTAGGAAAAGCTGAGGCGCCACCTAATTCTGGATACCCAGGATCCAAATATCACCCCTGAAGAATTTGCTTTTTTAGTGTCTTTTAGAAACATGGGGCAGCCTCTCAGCATGGAGAGAGCATGCGTTCCCAGAGTCCACATTAAAAAAAAAGAAAGGGTCTGCTATTGTGTCACATGCCCATGTGACCTTGCTGCTGGGGAGACAGAGACAGACAGATCCCTCGGACTCACTGGCCACCCAGCCCGGCCTAACTAGTGAGTGCCAAGAAGAGAACCCTGTCTCAACAAACAAGGTGTACAGTTCCTGAGGAGCAACAAGGAGCAACCTCTGACCTCCATATATACTGTGTTCGAGTGCTCTAAACAGAACTGATAGAATACATGCATACATGCATATATACATACATACATACATATATACATACATACATACTTGCATACATATTAAAGGAGGATTTATTATGGTGGCTTACAGGTTATGGATGAGGTAGACCAACAATGGCTGTCTCCAGATGGAAAGACCAAGCATCCAGTAGTTGTTCAGTCCAGGAGACTGGGTGTCGTGCTAGTCCAGTCTGAGGTTAGAGTTCCAGAAGAATCCTAGAGAGCTGCCTGTCTTCAGTCTACACTGGAATCCCTAACAAGTAGGTTCTAATACCAGTGAAGGAATACCTCAGCAACGGGGTAGATGAACTTGCCAGTGAGAGTGGGGGCAGGCAGGCAAAGTGCAAAATCTTCTTTCTTCCGAATCCTTTCATGTGGGCCACCAGAAGGTGTGGCCCAGATTTAAGATGGGTCTTCCCATCTCAAATGATCCAATCAAGAAAATCCTTCACTGGCATGCCAAGATGCTTGGGTTTTAGTTGATTCCAGGTGTGATCAAGTTGACAAGCAAGATTAGCCATCTTACACACATACACACACACACACACACACACACACACACACACACACACGAGATGATAAGGGGCTGAGGAAATGATTCAATTGGTAAAGTAACTGCTGTACAAGCATAAGCACCTGATCTGGGATCCCCAACCTCTATGTAAACGCCAAACATGGCGGGCAGCACTGCATGGAAGGGGAACAACAAAGCCAGGCAGAAGCCTAGAGTTACCAGCCTCAAACTGGGGAGCTCCGGGTTTAATGAGAGACTCTGAGTCAATAAGCAAACAAATAAGTTAAGTGGGTAGAGATCAAAGAAAACACCCAGCATCAGTCTTTGTCCTCACATCCACGCTAGCACATGTGTACACCCACACACGTGCACACCTACGTGAACACACGCACATCCGTGCACTGTACACATATACACACAGAAACAGGGAACATTAGGTTGCTTTATGTAATGTCTGCCCTGCAGGCCTCAGAATAGTCAACACTCTGATGGAGGAACATTTCAGGCAGGATGCCTACTCTCCAACTCTGTGCATAGGTGGGGGCTCTGTATCCTCACTCGGCCAAGTCCAAGGTTCTGTGTTTCTAGGAGCAGGGAACATGCTGTTCACAGACATATCACCTGCAAAGAGTCCTGGAAGGAATGAGCTGTCAGTTATCACCAGTTCTCAAGCCTGAGGGCCACTTACCTATGCGCTGTCCTTGGGCTCTGGTAGGCCACACTCATTGGTGACTTGGGACTACTCTGTGAGACTTCATTCTTAATGCCTTGGAAGATATGCCCACAGGCGTGTCTTCACGGAACCCACGCTGAAGTTCATATCTGCACAGGACCAGTTTGGAGACGGCGCAAAGACTTTCCTCATTAGTGAAACTCCGAGACAGGGTGGAAGTATGTGCCTGCTCTTCAGCAGGAGCCCAAGGAGACAGCCTGGCTCGTACTGTATCCCAGCAACTGAAGCCAACAGGTGACCCACACGTGATTATAAATGTTGTCTGCCCTCCTTAAAAGAAGAAGTGTCCACTATTTAAAAACGACAGGAGCCTCCCCAGTACCCACAGACCCAGACTGTGGCTACGAGGGAGCACTCAAAAGTCCCCAGGTCAGAAGAGCTGGAGGAACAGTTCAGTTTCTCCTGAAACTGAGCTTGCTGTGTGAGTATGAGGACCTACATCCAATCACTGTAGTCTATGTAAAAAATCTAGGCATGAAATGGATGGAACTAGAAAAACCCTTCCTGAGTGAGGTATCCAAACCCAGGAAGACAAACATGGGATGTACTCACTCATAAGTGGATATTAGACTAAAGAAAAGGATCACCAGGCTGTAACCCACAACCCCTGAGAAGTTAACCAACAAGAAGGACACTGAGAGAGATATACATGGTGCCCCAAGGAAGGGGAAATAGATAAGTTCTCCTGAGAAAATTGGGAGTCGGAGGGGGTGAAGAGGAGGGGGAGGAGAACATGAGGGAACAGGATGTTCTGAGTTGAGGGTGGGACAGAGAGGGAGAGCAAGGAAAGAGATATCTTGACACAGGGAGTCGTTATAAGGTTAAGAAGAAATCCGGTGGTAGAGAAACTCCCAGGAATCCACAGGGATGACCTCAGCTAAGACTCCTAGCAATAGTGGAGAGGGTGCCTAAACTGGCCTTTCCCTATAATCAGATTGGTGACCCCCCTAATTGTCATCATAGAACCTTCATCCAGTAACTGATGGAAGCAGACGCAGAGATTCACAGTTAAGCACTGGGCCGAGTCCAGTCGAAGAGAGGGTAGAGGGATTGATTATATGAGCAAAGGGGTCGAGATCATGATGGGGAAACCCACAGAGATAGCTGGCCCGAGCTAGTGGGAGCTCACTGACTCTGGACTGATAGCTGGAGAACCTGCATGGGACCAAACGAGGTCCTCTGAATCTGTGTGACAGTTCCGTGGCTTGGACAGTCTGTGGGGTCACTGGCAGTGAGACTAGGATTTATCTCCAGTACAAGAATTGGCTTTTTGGAGCCTATTCCCAGTGGAGGGATATTTTGTTCAGCCTTGATACAGAGGGGAGGGGCTTGGTCCCGCCTCAACTTGATATGCCAAACTTCGTAGACTCCCCATGGGAGGCCTTATCCTTTCTGGGGAATGGATGGGAGCTTAGGTGGGGGGAAGGTGGAGAATGGGAGGGAGGGGGAACTACGGTTGGTATGCAAAATGAAAAAAAAACTTTTAAATTAGAAAAAAAAAATATATCCAGGCATGTTAGGTAGCTTGTAATCCTCAGAGTAGAGACAAAGAGATCCCTAGGGCTTGCTGGCCAGCCAGTCTAGCTGAATCGGTGAGCCTCGAGTTTCAGCTAGAAAGCCTGTTTCAAAAAAAAAAAAAAAAGTAAAAACAAGATGTCTAGCTCCTAATAACAGAATCTAAGGTTGACTTCTGGCTTCCATGTGCACACATGTTCAAGCATACACAAGCAAGTCCAAGCATTCACACACAAATCCAAGCATACACACACAAGTCTAGACACACACCCACACATGTCCAAGCATACACACACACAAGTCCAAGCATACACACACATGTCCCTGAAGTCTTAAGGATGGACAGAGGCATGTTCTCTAACAAGAAGGACCGTGTTTACATCAAACACATTCTTTTCTATGAATGTATAAATGTCCCACTTGCTAAGAGGAGGATGTGGGAATGTGAGCTATGTCCATCTGAGTCCACAACCTAAACCCAGAGACTAAAAAGAAGACAAGTACGTGGAGAAGCTGCAGACAGTGGGTGTGGGGTGGGGATGCTTCACAACTCAAAGAGGGAAGGTGGAGTTCCCAGGTACCATGGCAGTGTGGACCCCGAACTCATGAGGGAGGAAAACAGGATGAACAATGTCTGTGCAGCATCTCTTGGCCGCTTCCTTCTTCCACCCCTCCTCCTCCATTCCAAAGGGTAGCCACCAGAGAGCCCCCATGCTGCGCTTCTGTCTGCAGAAAGAGTTTAGGAGAATTTATTAGGAGCTGAAGAAATGCTGACGCTGCAATCTTGCTGGTCCTAGCAGGCCCCTCAGAGCTCTCATTAGATGGCCACAGGCAACAGGGAAGGCTACGAGAGCCACAGGGAGCTGCCCACAGAGCCCAGACCACTGACGGCCAACAGGAGGGATGGCAGAGGCAGACGTGGCACACTGGGTGCTAATTGTACACTCTGCCTGCAGCGCTGAGCAAGGCTCGGCAAGCCCAGGGAGGTCAGCTGGGAGGGCCAGAGTGGAGAGAAACGGGGCCACCTGAGCAGCGCTGGTCCTTGGACTCTCCAGCATCTGGGGCAGGTCATTTGCCCATTTCCCTCCTTTTAAAAGCATGGTGGGAAATGCCAAGTGAAAGAAAGACTGCTTTCCCTACATCTGCCTCCTTTACTGAGTCCCTTCCTGATCCATAAAATAATATTTTCTTGATCCTCCAACTTCCACCTGTTTTAATGTCTTCTGTTAAAGTAGTCATAATTGCCACTGTGTACTGCAGGCACTGAGCAAGTTGCAGGGTCACAGTGAACTGCGCGCGCGCACACACACACACACCATTCATGAGAGGAGTCCTGTGAAGAAAGGGTTACAGATGAGAAATCCCAAGTTCAACGAGGCTGAGAGACTTTCCCCAAGTCACAGAGCTAGAAAACTCAGGTGAGATCTAGATACCATGAGCCCCACATTCAGTGACTTAACTGTGTTTTCACTTTTATAGGTTTGTGGGAAATTAACACCCGATTCAGTGAGCAGAGCAACAATCACCCCACTAAACAGATGTGGAAGCTGAAACCCAGTAAGGACCTGCCTACTCAGAACCTGAAAACTCCATGTCCTAACTCATGCCTCACAACTGGGTGTGATGGCGTTTGCTGTGTAATCTCAGTACTGGAGAGGGAGACAGAGACAAGAGGGTCCTTGGGGCTCACTGGCTAACCACCCCAGCTTAATCACTGGCAAGCCTCAGGTCCCAATGAGAGGCCCAGCCTCAAAAGACAAGGCGGATAACTCTTAAGGAACACCTGAGGTTGACCACTGACCTCCGTGTATATGGGCACACACATGTTCACCTGTGTATACATGAACATGTACGCATCCTTGCATGTGAATGAATATTAGAGTGTTGCTTGCGTATGCACATTGTCTGTGCTCTTGCCCAAGGCCACAGGGTATTAAGGACAGGAGCAGGAAACCCACTCTGACCGGAGCCAGGGAGCTGCAACCTGCTCAACACCCCTGCCTTCTAGCGACAGAGTGATCACTACGGCTGGGTTTGTCCACGGCTCTTGATACTAAGCAATATTTCCAGCAAAAGTCTGGTAAATTGATTTGTAGGAGAGGGGGTGATGGAGGACAAAGGGGGGCTGCAAACATTGAATCTAACACCAAACTAATCTAATATGCCCAATTTTGTATTCCTTCCCTACGTTTAATGTGTGCAAGCAAATCATTGGCGCTTCGGTTTGCACATATATCTCAATGTGAAATGGTGAAGCGGCAATAAATAAATGCATTATCTAGATAAATGGTTGCCGGGCAGAGTGAAGCACGAGGAATGGTTTGTGCGTCGCTATTGTTTTACAAACAGAAAATTCACTTCTCCCTTGACCCTTGGCTGTGGCCAGCTTTTGGAATTCTAGAATAAATAAGAAGGGGCAGGGGAACCTAGAATAGCAGGGGGAAGCAAAAAAGGGTTTCCAGGATTTGGTATCATAAGTGATAATGATGCCTGGGGCTCCATGGCCCTGAACCTATCCTGGTTGCAGCCTAATCTTTGATCTCTGCCTATGCACTTGAAACTATCCAGTCAACCATGACAGCACGCTCTGCAGACCCCGGCCTGCACCAACACCAGCCGAGCACTTTGACCCGGATCATTTCTCCACCTCTCCCTTTGCCGTCCCAAAGCCACACATCCCCCTGGGCACTACTGGAGAAGGCAAGCAAGGATTTAGCCCCTTCTCACCTTCCACCAATCTACCTGCTCAGAGGTGCTTGCCATGGAGTTTCCCGCTGAGATCCTCACTGGCTTCCTTTTTCTACCCTTCTTAAAACTCTAGAAACTTCCTCTTATGATTCCCTCTTGAGCTCTCTTATCTTGCTGTTCTCACTTAGGCACCTGTAAATAGACTGTGTGCTCTTTAAAGGCAGGAGCTTTATCTAATTTACCTATTTGTTTCTCGGCACCAATTATAGTTCCTGGGATACTGGGATGCCAAAGGCCGGTAGGCTGTGCATGTGGAAAGTGGGTGGGTGTGTAATGAATGGGTGCATTGATGGACAAGATAAGTCAATGGATGGGTGCATGCATGCATGGGTGCATGGGTGGATACATGGATGGGTAACTGAATGTGGCAATAAGCAAATGAATAAATGGATAGATGCATGGGATGAATTCATAGAGGAATGGATGCATGCATGCATGGTGAGCTCACAGATTTGAAGATGGATACATGGATGCATGCACGCATGAATATAAAGATGGATGATAATTCGGTGGGTCAGTGGTTAAGTGAATGGATGGGTGGATGCATGGATGGATGGATAGATGGCAAACTGATAAATGTGTGAAGAGACAGTTGGATATATAAAGAGATGGGTACACAAAAAAAAGGTGGATGCAGGTAGGTGACCAGGTGAGTTAGGTGGTGGGGAAGAATCAGGAACACAGCTGGTTGGAAGACCGTAGAGTGAGGATCAGTATGAAGGAACAAAGATCCAACCCATACATTTGCGTTAAATTCCCTGGGACCCTGAGAAGTCTGTCCGGATTCTAAGCAGCAGAACAGATTTTAATACATTATGAGCGCCGAGAAGATGTGTCATTCAGTAAAATGCTTCCTTTGCAAGCATGAGCACTTGAGTGAGTCCCCCAGAACCACCATAAAAAGCCAGGCACAGTCGTGTGCATTTGTAATCCCAGCACTGGAGAGGCAGGGATAAGAGGATCCCTGTCAAGACAAGCCAACCGATTCCAAGTAAAAGAATGAGGGACCCTGCCTTAAAAGTATGAAGTGGATGATACCTGGGAAACAAGACCTGTATACACACACACACACACACACACACACACACACACACACACACACACACACACTTTATAAAACTATACCATGAACCTCTGGGTATCCCACATCATCCCTCTATATTGAATCCCATGACAAAACATGCTCATCTTCCACACAGCACGCCAGCCCTGAGGTGTATTC